GGTTCATGTTTTAGTAACTGTTACTGATTTATGGAGTGTTTATTGAATCATACAAATTATTTTGAGCGGTTTTTCGATTGACTATTTGTATATCAAAATTTTGGCGCTGAGCCGTATCGTTTCTTTAATTTTTTTGTCACGCGAATGCGAAACTGGCACCTAAAGACTGGACTATAATTGTTATTGGAAATATCGCCAATTCTTGTTTCGATCCTCCACTGTTAAATCATGCGTGTGCCTGTTAAGTCGAATTGTGCCAGTGCCAAATGATACTCGCGGGTTAGCATGAATCATCTGTCAGTTGCCTCACGTTTCCCTTTTTGTGTGAAACAAAAAAAGCGAAAAAAAAGTGCGATGTCTCTATAAGTGGTTTCACGACATGGGGTGTAATCCAGCTGTCAGTGAAACTCTCAGACAGTAAAATTTTCCGGGCAGAGTTGGTCACAGTTACTGACTTCTACGCGATTTCCGGTGTCGGTGAGTAACTCTTTTGTTTACGACACGGTAAGTAGTACCGCTATCTATTTATTTCAGAATGATAATTTACATGATTAAACACAATTCGATGTAATTTAAAAGTTCATATTACGTACATTTGTGAACATAGATAACTAGTTTTGTTTTGTGTCATGTTCTGATCATAAACAGGTTGTTTAACACAGAAATATACTTTCTAATGAAATATTTCCTTAGCATACTCGACAAGACAATAGAACAAATAAATAAATAAAAAACAATTCATGAATGGTTCTCAGTCATGCAGTCATGCAGTCCTACTGAATCATGATGTAAAAAGAAACAGGGCTTTTAATTTCTCGTACATACTTTAAATAACTTGCATATATACCTATTTCCAAACCCTTGCGCTTCACTTTACTGACATACCAGAATCTGGAAGTTCCTATTTCGAAACTAGTTTCAAAATCATTTTCATGCTATTGGCGTTGTACCCGGCAACGAATCCGATGTCAGATTTCAGATCTTGGACCTTTTGAAATACGTTTATATATACATAAGAAGCGATATAAGCCATGCAGTCATATTAAAACCGATTTTAAATTACTGCAGGCAAACGTTCATAGATGAGACGGCAGCCAATAGTTTAAACTATATTAGATATCCAGAGCTTTATAAATAATTTTTTTAAATCTATGAAATACGGCAATAAATATTTTTTTGTTTCATTATTAATTCATTTATTTTTACTATTCGTCACTATTCGCGACTATTCGCCACTAT